TATGTATATATATATATGTTAAAAAAGTTTAATTTACTTAACATTGCATGGAAAATTGTTTCTGATTCAACAGATGTTTTTTCCAAAGGAAAAAATTGTTTTTTTTTTTTTTCACAAACTTTACAAATTTGAAGCAGGTGAAGATACTTTTAAAAAAATCTTCCTAAATACCATCATGTAAAAATATTTAAATATTAAAAAAAAAAAATTAACAATTCTTGAGATGCTTCATATATATATATATATATATATATATATACATACATACATACTCAAGACAGATCTAAGATGCACATACATATTATGTATGTACAGCTATGTAAAATCTTATATAGGATAGACTCATAGATAGAGAGGAAAATAAACAGATGCCAAAAATATATATACATTTCTGAACATATATATATTTTTGTATGAATTAAAACTCTTTTACCTGATGGTATCAAATAATTGGAAAAACATGTCAAATAAATACATTTTTCATTTTTCTCACATATTTACCATATATGCATGTATTTATCTTTCTAATCATATATATATATATATATATATATATGATCTTAAGATATGTTACTAAAAGTCATGCAGTGCAATTTCTACGCTCACACTGTTTCTAGGTAGCTAGCTATGCGTATGTTTGTAAGGTATTGCTGAAATGTTCTCAGTCCAACAAACTTGCTGAAATCAGTATTATAATTACCAAACAATTAAAAACATCCATTTTATATATATATATATATATATATATATATATATATATATATATATATATATATATATATATATGTGTGTGTGTACATATGTATATGATGATAATGAATGACTACCTTTGACTACTATTATAATCAGAAATAATAGCAAGAAAAGGTTATTGTGCTCAAAATAAGTAATTCCTTGTATTATCACATAATTTTAGGAAGATGTCAACATGATGGTCAATGGAAATCACAAGGGAAATTTCAGTTCGCACAAAATCAAGTGTAAAATATATCCAGATCTGAAGAAGTACAAACTGGAATCATTGGGAAATAGAAGTTATATTCAATAGCATATAACCACTTCCGAAATTAGCCATTAATATTACAGGATTATAGGGTTAGTTTAAGCCCTAATACTACTAATAATCTACAATGTCTTGGTATTAGCCTACAATTCCTAGAATGCAGCACATTTACCTACAAGATCTAGAATGTGGCACATTAACCTACAAGATCTGGAATGCAACACATGAGCCTAAAAGATCTAGAACGCAACACATTAGCTTACAAGTTCTAGACTGCAACACAGCTTACAAGTTCTAGAATGAAACACATGAATCTACAAGATCTAGAATGAAACACATGAACCTACAAGATCTAGAATGAAACACATGAGCCTAAAAGATCTAGAATGCAACACATGAGCCTACAAGATCTAGAAGGCAACACATGAGCCTACAAGATCTAGAATGTGGCACATGAGCCTACAAGATCTAGAATGTGGCACATGAGCCTACAAGATCTAGAATGTGGCACATTAACCTACAAGATCTAGAATGTGGCACATTAACCTACAAGATCTGAAATCCAACACATGAGCCTACAAGATCTAGAATGCAGCACATGAGCCTACAAGATCTAGAAGGCAACACATGAGCCTACAAGATCTAGAAGGCAACACATGAGCCTACAAGATCTGGAAGGCAACACATGAGCCTACAAGATCTAGAAGGCAACACATGAGCCTACAATATCTAGAATGCGGCACATGAGCCTACAATATCTAGAATGCGGCACATGAGCCTACAATATCTAGAATGCGGCACATGAGCCTACAATATCTAGAATGCAGCACATGAGTCTACAAGATCTAGAATGCAGCACATGAGCCTACAAGATCTAGAATGCAGCACATTAGCTTACAATCATTTTTTAGAGGAAAACTATGGGTATTCTATGCCCTCAAATATTCTAACTCTTCTTCTATGTGTCATGTCTATTTCAATATGTAGGCAATCATGTCTCTTTGCAACCACCTATCCCTTATGGGCAGGAGCTTCCCACTCTTCACTTTTGTGATGAATGAATCATTAAATCCTGTTATCCTCTGTCTTTTTCAAAATTCAGATCAGGCCAAAAATGGGCTACTGCTATCATATATGGGCCCAGGCTTCACTTTCCAGTCTTGGTAGTCCAAAAGCATCATTGCATCCTTGTGGGTGACACATTATTTACCACTCTGCAACCCCTTTCACACAGACAATACATTGCCTCTTCCTGCTCTATTGTTGTTTCCAGGTAGAGTTTTCAGATGAACTATACTCCTTAGTTCCACCAGTCCTAACCTTTACAGCTAAGATCTGCCACACCATGCACATTGTAGTGAACCACCCACATTACCTTCATATTCCCCTAGTGTCATGTTCTAGTCAAGCATCTTCTTTCAACAAACCACTGCCTTATGGAACTGACTCCCAAGAGGTTGGTTACCTGGTCACTATAATCTTAATCTGTTCAAGTCTAGGGTTAACTCTTATCTTCCACACACATCAACATGAGCTGTGACTTTTGCTCTCTAATCCTCTACCACAAGTGGCTCTCGAGCTTTGTACAGGGTGAACACCATTGTAAAAAAAAAAGCTATTTGCAATGATTGTTCCTTTACCATCACTCCAATGCCTCGTTCCAACCCCCATTCATGTGCTGCCTCTCCCTGTCCTGTTTCCCCTCAGTATGTCCTCTGTGTGTCAAATTTTCCAAGTCCTGTCGAAGAAAATTAAACTATTTTTGATTCTGTGTACAACTGTCGTTTTTCGTTTCCATTTTCATTAAGACCTTTTCATTGCTTACGTACTTCATCTAAGTTAATCTCAACATCCAGTTTTCTCCTCATCCTTGGAGATATAGTCCAGCATTCAATGCCATATAACAGGATTGATATTACATAGCAGTTCTGCACTCTTTTCTTTGTAATAAAATTTCCTTATAACTTAGCTTTTGGAATGCCTCATTTGTGATTCCAATGTCTTTGGATTTTGGTGTTGCATTTTCTATCCTCCATTAAAACTCTGCCCAGTTTGTAGCTCACAGTTAAAATTTTTTAAAATATAGATATTCATCTTAAAACTGCATATCTGTCCAATAGACTTTATAATTGTTATAGGACATTACCCATAATAACATAATGGACTATTCCATATGTAATAAATACTGCACCTCAAGAGGAAGCAGAGAGTTCAGTCTGAAGTGAGGTCCGTCAGAAACCCATCAGGAGTCTGTCAGTCAGTCAGAGCAAGCGAGTCAGTCGAGTCAGAGGCAGTCCGAAACAGAGTCATGTTCAGACAATTACTATAAGACATTGGAATAGTGATACTGGTCGAGACTACATTGTTCTCCCTACTAAACCTGATTGTTCATACTAACACTTTCTACATCTCTGTATATATTCCTGTTTGTAATATATCTGTGTTATTCCATATCCGTGTTCTTCTTTATTGGTTCTACCTTGGACTATCACTGTGTTACAAGGAACCGAAACATAACAATAATCAATAAAGATTTTTAAACTTTAGAGTCAATAAAAGGAAAACAAAAATAAATTTTCAGGATCACAACTAAAAACCTGTGTGCCAACTCATGCCAACAGAATGTTGAAATGCTATGTAATATCAATCCTCCTGTAAGTCAATGAATGTTCACAGATGAAATGGCGATTTGAGGCAATATGAGACAGATGTGGTTCTACTGAAAGTTGCTGAAAATACCATGGACTGAACATGTGATTAATGAGAATGTTTTAAGAAAAATGCAAAGAAAAATGATACTTAGTAGAATCGGAAAGAAGCAGTTGAAATTCCTGGAACACATAATGAGGAAAGAAGGCATAGAGAATTTGACACTCGCATGACATACTTAAGGCAAGAGAGGCAGGGGGAAAGCTTGTGTAAATAGATGGCAAAACAGAGACTAGAAGGAATAATAAAGAAACATTTTCTTAGAGCTACAAGAAATAGAAAGTTGTGGAGAGCCATGACCAATCTACCTAACAATCTTCTGTAAATGTATGGCAGAACAGGAAGTGGTAGTAATAATAAAAGAACATATTTGCTTAAAGCTACAAGGGATAGAAAGTTGTGGAGAGCCATGGTCAGCCTAACTAAGGAGATGGTGTAAATGGATAGCAGAACAGGGAATGGGAGGGATAATAAGGAAACATATTTGCTTAGAGCTACAAGGGATAGGAAGTTGTGGAGAGCCATGGTCAACTTACCTAACAAGCTTGTGTAAAAGGATGGCAGAACAGAGAGTTGGAAAAATAAGGAAACATATTTGCTTAGAGCTACAAAGGATAGGAAGTTGTGGAGAGCCATGGTCAACCTACCTAATGAGCTTGTGTAAATGGATGGCAGAACAGAGTGGAAAAAATAATAAGACAAATATGACTTAGAGCTACAAAGGATAGGAAGTAGTGGAGAGCCGTGATCGTACATGACCTGAACAGACATGGCATATAAAAAGAATAATAATAAGAAGAATGTTAACTCAATTTCCAGTTGTGCTTATATCACATTTCACTTAAGCCCTTGCTATTGTTGGCTTAATTACGAAAAAGGAGAAACATCATGAATATTTATTTCTGAGATAAATAATTACAGTTGTCTCTTTTGATTAGAATGTTATTAATTATGCATTACTAATGGCAATGGTCCATCAGAAAACTGGCACGTCTGCTTGGTTTTAGTTTATGAATTGTGCTTGGGAGAAAAGCACCTTTTACACAACAGCAATATACCAAAATAAGAAATTTCTAATTTCTGCAAAAAATCAATTATTCAACTTTTGACAATGATAAGAGTCCAGTGAAAAAAACAGCCATTTGCTTTCTGAACATACAATCATGCTTTTATTTTTACTGTTTTGCAATGCATGAAATTTTCACAAATGTTGCCATACTCCAAAGTTGGCATTGTTCAAAAGAAATATTGACTCGTTATGGTCTCATTTTTGCTTTTAGTAAAATTAATGCCTTCTTTTCTTTTATCTTTCAGGTAAGAAGTGTTTTTTTTATCATCAAGATGATGAGAAGTCACATATTTATTCTACAAACAGTAAGTTATATAATATTTTTAAACAAGATTTGCTCTATCATTTTAGTTTGACTCTTAGCATTTATTGTTTTGGATAAATCTGACTGAAAAAAAAACAAAAACAAACTGATTTAAAAATAATCTTCCCACAGAACTGCCATTTCAAAGCATTTCTTACTTCATCAATAATTTTGTAATTACACACACATAGTAAATAATACAAGCATATGCATACATACACACACACATGTAGTAAATAATACAAGCACACATATATATATATACACACATTTACTTTGTAAATATGGTAAAATAATACACAAGACACAAAATTAAAAACTATCTTTGCAAATATGATAAATAAGACACATTACATTATATATATATATATATATATATATATATATATATATATATATTTAGTTAGATTGATGTGAGTTTGTGACCCTGGGTTTTACACCTTTGTGATTGTCTGTTTGTCTGATGATCACAAGGGCGTGAAACCCAGAGTCACAAACTCTCATCACTCCAACTAAATATGTTAGCTCTATCACTGATATTGATTACTTTTCAATAAGTACTGTGCATATATAATATATAAATAATATATATAAAAATTACATATACATACATACATATATATATGTGTGTGTGTGTGTTTGTGTGTAATTAATTTAAGTACACTGAAGTATTTTCATTAGTTCATTATAATTTGAGGTGGGGAGAGGGGTGAAAACAGACAATGTAATTTATTGGATGTGGGTAGCATTTGATAAAATATTACATTAAAAAAACAAAATTTGAATCCCACCCATATATTTAACCGAGATCATTTGTCTGTTGAGGAAACCCAAAGTTACTCATTTTATATATATATATATATATATATATATATATATATCGAGAGAGAGAGAGTGGGGCAGATAGAATCTTGCTTCATTATGAATCTCTTGGTAGCTAAGTAGTCAAAGCACATCAGATCAAATGACAGTTTCTCCTGCAAAGGAAGATGCTGGTTCAAATCCCGTCAGTGTGTGCATTGTTTTTTTTTTAATAAGAATGTTCAGGCTGGTAAACAAAATAAAATACTGTTTAAAATAAGTGAAGAAACTACTCAAATACGGGTAACCACTCAAAATAATATTCAAAGTAATAAAGATATGTTGGATTAAGAAATAAAATCCATTAATTCTTTAGAAATTGCTTTGTTTACATTTCCGATATGGAATTGAGCAGTTATGAATTTTGAAGAAATCTGAATCAGTAAAGTGTGCTTTAAAGATCTAAGAAATTTAAAATGATTTAAACTCACAGATACGTTACTAAAGCTATAGTGAAACTTTAGTAACTAATTGGTGAGTTTGAATTGATTTTAATTTTTCGTATTATAATGTAGATTTTTATACACTAAATATAACAGCTATCATTGGACAGCTGTAATATTTTTACTACATCCCATAATAGCTGTAAAATGTGTATCCAGATTTCATATAATTAAAATAAGTATTCTATGACAGAGGTAATTATTTTTTACTATGTCCAATAAGTTCTGATACATTTGAGTAAGCATATGCACTAAATTTAATAAATTATTGTGGGACTGAGGTAATAATTTTTACTCTGTCCTATAATAACTGTTAAATTTGTATGTGTATTTCACCTAATAAATGTTGCATCTACAAATGAGTTATTATGCTAATGTGTTGTGTATAACCTGCTTTCTCAAAGTTCATTTCTTCATGTTTTCTTATCCGATTCACTGACCAACCTTTTCCTTTAGCTACTTAGTGTCTATAAGTTGTTGTTCCACTTGGAAAGAACAGAATCATATAACCCTGTCTGCAGAAGCAATGTTAGTATTGTTGTATATATGGCTGAAGAAGGCAAAAGTCATGACTCCATGTCTGTGACTGGCTAACCTTTTGCAATCTACTGCATACAAACAAATAATTCAGATGAAGTTCAGGGTTCATTCGGTGTAAAGAAAACCACAGAGATCATCAATTCAAGATCAGTCTTTACTCTACCAACAATCTTTACACTATGTACTTCATGAATATGTTTTATATTAACCTTGTAGACTCCAAGTGAATTATCAGTCTTTCATCTTTTAGCACATCATTGCACTAAAGTGGTGATCACTTTAGTCTGATGAAGTTCTAAAGGATGAAATGCATCTAATAAAAATAAGTTTAATTAAAGATGCCTGATGAGGCACGGCAATTAAGCTATTAATTAAATTTTTCTTGTGTTCATATTAAGAAGACTCATCTCTCTGACCATAGAAAAAAATGGCTGGAAATCTATCAAACTCCATCCACAACACACTTGTAGAAAATACAAATATAGTAGCCTCATCCACAAATAAAATTAGGCAAAAAAATAATGGTAGTGTTATTAATAAAAAAGAAAAGCCAATGTTCAATAACATCAAGTATGAATACAGCCACAATGTGCTGACTCTGTTTGGAAAATAATAATCATAAGATTCCTATCATTTAAGATACATATAGAAAAATCTACACATTTAGTTCAATAAAAAAACATTATTGAAAATGGCTGATAGAATAATTGAATATATAGAACAATTGAAAAGTTTTTACAATATCTATATGCAGAAAAGAAATCATTTATATGAACACAAAAAATAATGAATGAAAAGCTTAATTGCAGTGCCTTGTCAGTCATCTTTAATGAAACTTGTATAAAAGTGGGATTGCTTCTCAATTACATTATATATATATATATATATATATATATATATATATATATATCATTTATTAAAAAATTATAACATAAAAATATTATAAAATCACTACAAAAATAGCCATTTTGTTTCAACACTTCTAGTGTCTTATTAAGTGATGGTGTTGAATTCAACACCATCACTTGATAAGATATCAGAAGTGTTGAAACAAATTATTACAACTGGGTTTGAACTTAATGTCCACTTTAATACATACATACACATATATATATATATATATATATATATATATATATATATATATATATATATATATATATAAAAATATAAACAATATAACTGAAAAAAAATTACCGAAATATTTCCTTCAATTGTTTTTTGCAGTACAGGTAAGTTATTTTAACTAATCTGAAAATTTACATGTAAAAGATAATTTGCCTCAATCCATTACATTATATATGATAAAAATTAATTCAATCTTTTTAAATTAAATAATTTTTCTAATTCATAGTAATTCATTAATTATTAAATCCTTACAGATTAAAATGAAAAGCAAAAAAAAAAAAAAAAATTAATCACACAATTTTAAGCTTCTCAGAGAGTCTCTTCCCTAAGATTCATTATGAAGGTCTTTGGGGACAATTCCAGCCTGCATATGCAGCCATAATTGTGAAGAAGGAATATTTTAATTCCATTGGTGAGTTCTGGATAAGAATCTCTAGAATTAGTAATTCTGATCACAACTGCCATGATGTGATCAGACTCACCGCAGTAACACCTGAATTCCAAGAAACATGTAAACGAGAGTTCACTGATGAATGTTCCGTCAGCTTCCAACCCCCATCCACAGAACTATCCTATTTCTTCATCCTTACCAGTGTCATTATCCCAGTCCAATATAAATACTAAGCTCATTTCTCTATATTATATTCCATCTATTGGTTCAGGTGCTTAGTCTTGGTAACTTTTTATATTATTTACAGTAAAACTAATGTACTCAGCTTAGTCGTTATTACCACAACATTTCGTCAGGTGTTTGTCAATCCAAATAACCTTCAGGGAATTTCAAACTGAACACTTTATTTAATCTACAGGGATAGATCATTCTTGTTTTGTTGCCTATGCCCAGGTATATCCCAATCTGTTTTTTGTTTTCTTTACTAGCTTTTATGAAGTTCTAGCCTCAGGACTGTCCTGTGGGGCAATAACCTAGAGGCTTAAAGCATCACTTTATGAATTCGTTGGCATGGTAATAGTAAGTTCAATCCCAATAGACTCAATGGAAAGACAACCAGCAATAACCAGGCGGTACTAAAAAATTGTTGTAGTATACCTATGGACAATAATGGGTATGTCCCCATTCACATAAATACAGTAGTAAATACTGTATGTTGGTCTGCAACTGAAGATTCATTGAAGAATTCACTTGACTCACTTCTAGCAGTTGACTACTTCTATGCCCTGCTGGTGAATCATATATGTGTTGTTCTTGTCCCAAGTATTATCGTTCATTACCAACCTTCATTTGATTATTCTATTCAGTAACCTTCCCTTGTGTTGTGGCCTGTTAGGGGCCAGAAAGAAAGACATAGAAGACGAAGGTAGGTTGAACAAGTGTATTGAAATAACAGATATATACAATGTAAGTGTGTTATTAGCCAGCAGTGTCGGTCCAAACTGTCAGGTTACACTGCATCTCGACTGCCCACACAGGAAGTCTCGCAGGTTAGTCTTTATGAAGCAGGGAAGAGTTCATTCTACTGTAGGTAGGTCACCATAATGCCTAGGTTACAACAAAAATAAATGAAAACGGCAAGATATCCCTAAATATAGATAGCAGATTTATATTTCTGCAAGGAAGGAAAATATTTGCAATTTTGCAAGATACCAGCTTTTACACAATGAGAAACCTCAGTAGCACAATCTTCAATAGGAAGGTTAAAAATTTTACCCCAAAGAGTGTTGTGAAGAAGAACATGAAATGAATCCCAATCAGTATGCTGACAACAGGAAGAAGTTTTGTGAATTGTAGGTTCATGTCTAACAGACAACTCAAAAGAAATGTCAACAGATATGACAGCATGGTCTGAATTGCCAAGATAACAAAATTGCAATGTTCAACAAGCACCAGAAGAGGTATGGAACAAGTCAATTAAAGAAGAATGTTGATCGGATTTATTAAGAAAATGTGTAAGGGAATCCACTATTTGATTCAGAGATTAAGCAAGAGGAAAATTGAAAGTCTGAATACTGGAAACATCAGTAACATTAAAATGATTAAGCCAGTTGGTGTGATGAGTATTAAAATCCCAAAACACAAGGGTCTTTGCTGATGAATGTCAAGAGAGAGAGAGAGTCATTTCTTTACTGTCAGATATTTTGTCTAATATGTTACAGTCCTGAGAAGAAGGAGAGCTAAAGAAAAATATATATACAGTAGTGATAGAAAAAAAAACTAAATAATAAATCTAATGGAATATTTTTTTTTTACAAACACAACATGAAAAACATTGCATAGAAAGAAGTAAATGTTTTTTAATGTAAAAATCACTGAATACATGGCTCAAGAACCACTCAAGATAGTGAGTTACTGTTAAAATCGTAGTGATACATGAGGGGATAGTAAGATATGAAAATAAAGAGGATAGATAACAACCAACCTTTGACTTAAAGACGTTAAGGCTGTATTATACAGGGAAGCATCTGCACATATCTCTTCCACAAACTAGGAGATCTTGAGAAAAAGTTGTGTAGAACTTTACTCCTCACATTTGGAATACAGGAGTGATTTGATTCTGTGGAAATAGCATGGCATATTCTACCTGTAAAGATCCTAACTAGTGGAACTAAAAAATGGAGCTCATTTGCAGTAGAGTAGTGATAGGCTACCAAAATTTGTCGGTGTGATAAAAGGTTGCAGAGTGTAGGATAAGTCTTTTCCAACAGGACTGCATAAATGGATTTGAATTCTTTCAAGGATAGAATTTGAGGATTGAGCAGCTCAACTGAAATAAAACAGCAAAACAGAATTTAGATAGCTAGACATAGATAGATAGATAGTTAGAGACAGACAGACAGTAATAGATAAACTGAGATAGATAGAAAGAAATCAATAGACTCAGATAGAAAAAATGAATAGACTGAGATAGATAATGAAGATACTGGGATATGTGAATGATTAAGGAGATTTTTAATTACAGGTTGAAGTCTCTGACAATTGATGCAACATGAGTTTTATCAGTACATATTAGCCGCAAAATTATTTTCATAAAGAAACCTTAAACACTGTCCACTCAAACTTTATTCTTTACCATTTTCTCATCAAGATAATCATGAGATTTTTGAGTCTATAGAATTCTCATTACCAATTCTCTTGTGAATAATAAATGGATAATCGTTTTAGAGCTCATGAATAAAAAGTAAAATAATTTGTTTGTGATAAGATCTACTTCAGAGCCCGCATTGATAAAACAATGTTCCTATTGTATACATAAGGAAATGAATATTTATGCAAAGATTTATCTTGTCCATTATTTCATATTTCTAAATGTATGTGTGTGTTACTCAAATGTTCAAGGAAGATAGGGTACAAAATGGCTTCCTCAGAATATGAAACAGCTTACAGAATAGTATGTCCATCATTTTCTGGTGGAGTGATTTCGAAAGATCTATGAAATATCCAAGAAGATATTGGAAATATCTACTGATAATCAGGAAATCACTATTCAAATTCACTGAACCTTTGGCTATAGCACCTCATATCTATCTATCTATCTATCTATCTATCTATCTATCTATCTATCTATATCTCTGTCCCATTTTGTTCTAATCTTACTATCACAGTCTGTTCATATCTATCAGTCTCTATCTATTGATCTATCTATTTCAGTCTCTTCCTATCGATTTAAATTTCTTCCTATCTATATGTCTTTTCCTATCTATCTATATCTATTTCAGTCACTTCTTATCTATTTCAGTCTCTTGCTATCTATATCTATTTCAGTCTCTTGCTATCTATATCTATTTCAGTCTCTTGCTATCTATATCTATTTCAGTCTCTTGCTATCTATTTCTATTTCAGTCTCTTCCTATCTATTTCTATTTCAGTCTCTTGCTATCTATATCTATTTCAGTCTCTTGCTATCTATATCTATTTCAGTCTCTTCCTATCTATTTCTATTTCAGTCTCTTGCTATCTATATCTATTTCAGTCTCTTGCTATCTATATCTATTTCAGTCTCTTGCTATCTATATCTATTTCAGTCTCTTCCTATCTATTTCTATTTCAGTCACTTGCTATCTATATCTATTTCTATTCTCTCTTGCTATCTATATCTATTTCAGTCTCTTGCTATCTATATCTATTTCAGTCTCTTCCTATCTATATGTTTATTTATGTACTGCATGCTTTCCAAACAAGCCAAAGCCCTAATAATCAGATATTTGAACCTATCTGAAGAAGATCTAAAAGAGATACACAAGGACATCCCTTCCCCTTTCTCTGACAAATCCTAATTGTTTTACTATCCCTTAAGCAAAAGAATATTGTTCCGCCAATCCAAGGTGAGTTTGGATTACTACAATGCACAAAAGACAATGGCTAAAAGACTCAACATAAGAAAAATTAATTCCTTGAAATAATATGGGGAAATAACCATTCTTTGCCTGGTGAAGGTCTCAAGACCTGAAACACATGTACCAAAAAATATAGAAAATAATGTATAATATATAAAAAAAAAAAATCTACATTATAATTAAAAAAAATTTGTTGCCTCTTCTCTCTTTAAATATACTTTTCTCTTGTTACAACAACTACAATATCTCCCCATATATATATATATATATATATATATATATATATATATATATATATCTCCAAGTATATGATTGGTGTATACAGAATGAATTCCAATAACCAACAATTACTATTCTTTAAAGAGTGCTCATTACAAAGTAGAGCAGATTAATTATTGGTTAGAATAAATAGAGCAGATTAATTATTGGTTAGAATAAATTCTTTTTTAATATTACCCATATTTTAAAGATCTGAATAGCTATTACAACATGACTTCATTGTCAAGCTTTTTTAATTTTCCTATACTTGTATTTTGATTGGGCAATCTAGCTTTTGTAACAACGTTTTCCCCTTGCGAAGGATTGTTAATTAATTTGAAACTTTTAAAACCATTTATTTTACATTCAACATCATCACTTGATAAGACACTGGGGTGTTGAAACAAAATGGCTATTTTTGTAGTGATTTTATAACATATTTATGTTATAAATTTTTTTTAAATAAATATATATATATATATATATATATATATATATATATATATATTTATAATATACACATATATATATATATATATATATATATATATATATGTATTTCTGTTGATAGCAGTTCTTTTGCTCACATGGTCATGTACAATGTCATAGAACTATATTACAAATTTACAACCTGTGTCTTCTATTCCATGTCCATTATCATGCAAACTTCTACGTAAAGAAAAACAGGATGTCATCTTTGACAGCGAACATCTCTTTTGTAATGTCCATATAACCACTCTGATGATGGCTCATGTAAGTCGAAAGCTTAGATCGACAACTAATATAATAAAGAAATATCCAAATGCTGGACAGTTTTTGTCTTTATTTTCTCTTGAAATTAAAACCATTATACAACACTTGGAATGGCTCATGAAAAAGACATTATAGACTTTCGTTGTCTGTTGTGTTTAACAGTATATATATATATATATATATATATATATATACTCTTTCTCTTTCACATTATGATCTTGTAAAGGGGAATGTGGTTTAAAGAAAAGTATTTGATGCAGTAAAAATATTTTAGTTTGCAAAAGTCTGGTAATTTGTAGTGAAACCTGAACTTGCAGCACAATGAGATAGTGATATATATATATATATATATATATATATATATATATATATATATATATATAATTATTTATACTTCAAATATTATTCATATTGATATCCATATTTGAGTAGAACATACATTTTTTATTTAAAAACTATGTTTATTTCAGAAATCTTAATAAAGATAAGGTTTCCTCTGGTAGGATTTGAACCTGCATCCCCTTTGTTGTAGAAACCACCACCTGATAAGTCATGCTTTGGACCACCCAGCTACAGAGGTCCTCACAAACAAGCAAGGTTCTATTTGTTTTAAACTGTATTTCTTTGTCCAGATTTTTTCTTAGTCATTACTCAGTTTCATATAAGAAATATAAACACACACACACACACAGACATATATATATATATATATATATATATATATATATATATATATATATATAAAAAGTGCAACTTTCATTGACTTACACAGTAATATTAATCTATGAACACAGCCACATTGTGCTGACCATGTTTAGAAAATAAAACATTCATTCTTATAACTCTAGATACATACATAAAACAATGCATATCAGTTAAAAATAAAATTCATCCTTAATAATGGCTAAAAGTATAGCTGAAAGCACATGGAAAACATTCGTACAATTTTTATATAATTTGTGTCCTGAAAAGAAAAAAATTATATGAACATGTGAGAAGTTATATAAAAAACTCAATCACTGCACCATGTCAGTCATTTTGAATGAAACTTGCATAAAAGAGGGATTGCTGCCCAAATACACAATACACCCCCACACACACATATATATATATATATATATATATATATATATGTCTGACTGTACACTTGTATGTATATAGAATTTTACAGTCTTTTTCATCAGTATGCATTCCATGTTCCGTCTTAATTTTTCAACCAATCATCTTCTAATTTAATAAGCTAACAGAAAACCTATGCATACAAATTTCTTCAATCTTTTGGATAAATTACACAAATATTTATGAGCTTGCCATGTTTGTTAAAATATCATTGTAACATTTCCCTTCAGAAGAAACAATAGCATCAGTATTAACTAATTAATGGGGTTAAAATACAGAACACATGAATGGGTGCTAGGCACAAGACTATTCTTCTTCTTTGTGCTGTGTCACTTGTGGACATTCATGACTCCCCACAACTTCCTATCCTTTGTAGCTCTTTGTAAAGTTTATCTATTCTTCTATAATTCCACTGTCTATTCATATATGTTGGTCAGGTAGGTTGCTCATTGCCTTTCACCTGACACTTTCTGGTTTTGAATATTCTAAAATGATCTCCAGTCTGTGGTTAACTTTGTTAGAGAAGGCGGTTTAATTTTAAAGCCTCCAAAACTAAACTTCTCTCAATTATCTTAGAGACCCCTCTCAGCCTTTCATTAACATGGCTAATACTAGCCTCCAGGAAAGTCTCATTACTTCTACGTGGGCTAACATTCTCGGCTGATATGCAGTGGAAAGTCCATATTGAATCCATTGTTAGATCAGCTGCTAAGAAAGTTGCTTTACTGTGTTATGGGAGACAATTTTTCTCTCCAGAATCTATCCTACATATCTATAAGGCTACCATTCATCCATGAATATTGCTGCCACATATGGTCCGGTGTTCCTGCCATTTATCTAGCGCTTCTTGATAAAATCAAAAGAAGAATCAGCAATATTATTGGTCCTGATCTGGCATCTCAGCTTCAGTCACTTTCCGTCTACTATAAGATTATATCCCTTTGCCTTTTCTATAAATACTTTTACAGTAATTGTTTGGATGAACTCTACACTATGGTACTTTAAGAATTTAAGTATAATAATAGACTGGCATTGAGTTCTCATGAATTTACAGTTGAGTTGGCTAGATTTAATTGTAAATTCTATACTGTTTCTTTTCTCATACTTCTCACTTGTGGAACTCCCTTCCAGCTCCATGCTTTCCAGCCAACTTTAATCTGCAAAAATTTAAATGCTACTATCCTTCTGATTACTCTTTTTGTTCTCGTTCATTAGTAATGTTTCTTTTTCTAATTCTTCCACACCCAGTAACCCCTTATGTCTTAGTGGCTTTACTGAATTGCATGGAGTGAACTTGATTAGAAAAAAAACCCCAAAAAACTCTCCTTAAGGAAAATGAGAACATAAGATTAAAAATGAAATTGTAATGAGATCCTGTCCTATGAGGCATTTCACATATCATAGAAAATCACTTCACCAAAACAAAAACCCCTACCATTTTTGATGACAATTAAAGTATTGTTTTTACCTGCAAGAAAAGATTTTAAAAATTATTGCCTGAGACATTTGGTAGGCTATTGCTTAACTGGAAACTTATTGGACAAAGACCGCAAAAAAAAAATAAATGAATAAACAGAAGCATCGGTAGCCAAAGTGGATTACCTCTTTTATGCATGTAGTCATGTGACTAGGGCCACATTGTATTAGCATAAAAAGCAGTACACTTTCAAACATCTGTCTCTTTTCCCATTTTTCTGTTCCCTGAACAGCTGCTGCCCAGCATGTAAGTAATTTCGCCACAAGTGCCAAGCACTTAAAAGCACTCATACATACAGACTCACTCTTTCCAAAAATTGTTATTTTTGTGGAAATACATTGTTATTTAAAGTACTCTTTCCTCATTATGTATCCTAGAAATTTCAATTCCTCTTCCTGATGCTACAGATAAGTGTCATTTTTGTTTCCATTTTCTCTAAAACTTTGTCATTACTCACATTCAGTCTATGGTATTCACAGCATTTTTCTGTAAACTCACATTTCTGTTACTTCCAGTCTTTTCCTCATCTATGAGGATGTCGTCCATCATACACTGTCATACAGGAGAGCTGATATTACATAACAGTTCAGCCCTCTTTTTTCATTTCTGACAAAATCTTCTTGTTTCTTAATACTTTGCTTAGCTTTGGGGAGTCAGCTTTCGATATCTCAATGTGCCTCCGGATTTCAGTGATGCTCTTTCCATCTTCTGAATAATATCAAATATAAATATGTAATATCAATTGTTTCCTTCTGTCTAATATTTATTGTTGTGTAAAAAATACAAACAAATGTGGCACAAGCCCAAAAAGGGGGGATGAGGAATGACTGTCTTCTTCTGTCTTTACTCTAAACTTAGCTAGTCACAGACACTGACCCAAACATGCCAACAATAATCCATTCACCAAAGCATCACATTCACGCCTACCTTTCTTACTACGTCCACCATAATACCTCAGTTTCTCTATGAAGTCCTAACTAGTCCCCTTATTTACAGATATTGTTCATGGGGGAGGGTCATAAAATAACAACTTTAAAATCCCCAAATGAATATTTACAAAAGTGAATTAATTATTTACAATAAACTAAACAAAACTGAGTTAGTAATAAAACCCCCCACAAACTATGAATGTGGCAGAAATATCAGTTAACCGGACGAAATCGATGCGGGACTAAGAAAATAAGTACACATTCAAACCATCAAGCATTCACACAAACACTCACTCATTCATACACAACAACAAATACGAAAGCACACACGCGAAACGAAAGGCGCCCCGCATCCACCAGAAAACTGACATCACTAACCACCTTCCTTCTGTTTTCTTAATTCCTTTATTGTTCTCTCTCCTTAATAACGTTTTCATTCTCTCATATTCTTTCACACTCAGTAACCACTTGCATCATAGTGGCTTTATTGCTTGACTTGGGGTGAAATGCTAAAAATAATTTCATTAAACTTCCTGTAACTCAAAATAATGTATTTATTAACATAAGAAAGATCTATATAATAATTTATTCAATGCATTAGTTATAAGCAGAAATAATTTCAAACACAATTTTGATCTGAAAAATTGTCCTTATTAAGCATACCTACAAACAATAATGGGTATGTCCCCATTCACATAAATATAGTAGTAAATACTGTATGTTGGTCCTCAGTTGGAGATTCATTGTGGAATTCACTTGACTCACTTCTAGCAGTTGACTACTTCTATGCACTGCTAGCGAATCATATATGTGTTGTTCTTGTCCTAAGTATTATCGTTCATTACCAACCTTCATGTGATTATTCTATTCAGTAACCTTCCCTAGGTTACAACAGTAAGACAAAAATATCATGAAAATGCATTAATAGGCACTAACCCAAGCATGAACATATGCACTGGAGTTTTCAAATATCTTTATTCAGAGAAATGCGCCTATGTAAAGCCAGCATATTTATGGACAGACATGAAAAATTTTTGAGATTAAAAGGAAAACAGTTAAATCAAATTTTTTTTTTTTAAATCAATAATAATAACATTAATTCACTTTCATTTAGCAACATCTCAAAAATTTAAATCAGTTAATGTCTTCCATAGTTCTCTTTCCTTAATGTCAAGAAATGGTTTTAATGTTTTAGAACAAATTCAAATTTGAAAGCGAAATGTTATATTTTCACAGCTATACTTTTTCTGAGTGTATAAATATAAGTTTCTAAATAAAGTTTCGACAGTTGTCATAATAAAATTTCTCAAGAACAAAACCTTCTACATTATTGAAATGCAGAATAAAACATTTTAAGCTTCTTGAACATTCTGCTAGCACAGTGTGTGTATGCATGCATGTATGTATATATATATATATATATATATATATATATATATATATATATATATATATATATATATATAAAAATATTAAAAATATTTTAATATAAAAAATAACGTATAAACAGAAAAAAAAAAAAATATATATATATATATATTTTAGGATATTATATGGAAAAATGGAAAAATACCTACATAATTGCAGTCATGTTTCAATGCATTTCATCAGGTGATCTCATCAGACAATTCCTGATGAGGTGCAATACACGCAATCTACATAAACCCAAATTTTTTAAAACATTAATCAGTTTGTCTGACGATCGCTAAAGCATGAAACCCAGGGTCACAAACTCACATCTATCCAACCAAATATATATATATATATATATATATATATATATATCAATCATTTCACCTCAAGCCATGCAGAAATGATCTCTAGTACTCAGGGGGTCACAGAGAGTGAAAGGAGAGGACTGAGGAACGGATAAAAGATGAACAGGATTCAAGAAGACAGACAAGACAATGGTGATATTTAAATTTTTGAAGATTGTAGCTATCAGGGAACCCAGTAAATGAATGGGAGTTCCACAGACAGGAAGTGTGAGTAAAGAGATTGTTAGAGCAGAAGTATATATATATTTATATGCACACACGTACACACACACATATATATATATATGCACACACAAAAAAAATATTTTATTATTTATTATCCATTATAAAAACACCTCAGTTATCATTGATTTTCTCATAATTTTATATCTATTAAAAGGTTTTATAAATATGGTGATATGTCAACATATAATTCTAAGTATATACCTCTAAATGTAGATGTTATCTATATGCATAAATAAATGACAGTGTTGTCCATAGGATTACAAAAAACCTATAAAAGAGGGTGCTGACCTTTATAGGTCATCAATTATTTATGAGAAAATAAGAATTTTGATTGGTTTTGCCCAATGTTTATTCACTTTAGAACAGTAGATGAGAGTAACTATAAAAACAGTTGCAAAATAAACTCCAAGTTTATTTGGAATTAAATATTCATGACATAAAATGATGTTTAAGAGATATCTTTATTCTCTGCACAAAATATATATATATATATATATATATATATATATATATATATATAATTAAGGAGTCTTGGTAGAGTAATGTTAGTGGCTCAGACTGAGGGCTCAGAGAGCTGAGTTTGAATTCAAGTCGAATCCATTACACTCACTCACGTACTAATACCCTTGGGAAAATTATGAATCCTCTTCTGCCTCCAGCTATGGGTAATTAGCAGGACAGGCTGGGTTCTATACCCTTGAATGGCAACTGGTCGAGGAGAACACGTTTGGGGACCTTGTGGCACAAAGTGCACCAGGTCTCTGTATTCAGCACTTCAAAAAGTGTGGTTGGTTTTGCACAAAACCTTCACCACTATAATCAAGTCATATTGTAGTACCCTGCTACCACTTTCTTATAAATGTCGAATTTTGTACATTTTTATGCAAAAAAAGTGGATCAGAGCCTTCTCAGCTTAGTAAATATTTTCAGGAAATATCAGCTTCTAATTGGTCAATGCCAACCAATCAGATCGTCTGCATGTGAAGAATAATCTTGATCCTATCACATGATTATATTATCTATAAATAGCAGACACGAGCTTGCTTTCTCTCTCTCCTTTCTTTATTCACCTCAGAAGATGTGATTTTCAGGATTCTTGTCTCAACCATGAGTGGTCAGAGGTTAAAAGCATATTTACGCATGCACATACGTACAAACTTTTCCAACCTACATTACAAACATATGGAACATTTCAAAACATGCAACAAGAACTTTTTCTTTGAAATATTATTCTAAAACTACAGTTTAATAATTAATTCAACTTTTGTGAGTTGAGATAAAAGTATTCTCAGTCTATGAGACATAACTCCATCAGATCTTTAATGCATGTATGTCAACACACAAATAAATACAATGTTGTACTTTAAAACCATTTTGTTCCTTCTTATATTTCATGCTTTGTGGTATTTTACGTTTAATATAAATTGTGTGGTCATGTTATTCACGCAGCCATAAACAAACATCTACAATTGTCCATCCTTATTACCAAGCCATTGCAATGATGGTAACTTCAGCGTCTGAAACAACTAGACCACTACAATATGTGCTGGTGTCTGGCAGTCGGTTCCTAGGGACTGAAGTTGCTGATCCTCATATGTCGAATATGATGGGAGAGTCTACCATATATATATAATTAATAATCAAATAAATCCTTTTACCTCATATGGGGAATAGGCTATTTCAGCAGACAACAAAAGTAGTCATCTGTCTTTTCAACTCAAGTGTGTAATAAAATGAAGTTCATGTTTGTAAAGTTAGAGGAAGTGGGATATAGCTGTTAACTATGAAGAAATGAAATTAGAAACTAAAGCATCGACTTAAACCTTAACTTGCTGAAAACACCTAATACACTGTTTACACTTTTCACTGTTTCAGTCAGACAGTCAGGGAGGATGGTAGGTATCTATCTTAAAGTTGACTTTTATCTTCCAATCTCAATTCCTCACTGTTAACTGCTATGTCCCCACTTCCTCTAACCTTATAGATATGAATCTCATTTCATTCCACACTAAAGTTGAAAAGACAGACGACCACATTCGTCATCTGCCGAAATAACCTATTCCCCATATGAGATAAAAGGATTTGTTTGATTATTAATTACATAGCTTTGTATAAATTAAATAAATTACATCAAGCTCTGTTTTGTGGATCAGTTCTAATATTTTCACTTGGATTATACACCAACGGATTTTTTACCTTACTATATATATATATATATGTATATATATTTTAATAATCTCACACCAGGCAAGGCAATAAAGCCACTAAGATTCAAGAGGTTACTGAGTAAGAAAGAATATGAGAAAAAGGAGACATTATTAAGGAGAGAGAACAATAAGAAAAACAGGAATTAAGAAAACAGAAGATATGATTGACATTGCATTTAAAGTTTTGAAGATCAAAATTGATTGGAAAACAAGAAGCTGGAAGAGATTTCTACAAGGGAGAGAAGAAACTATCAGAATAGAACTTACAGAACAATTATATAGAAAAGATACAGGGAAGCTACGTTACAGCAGTGGGAATATGTGTGCATACAAACATTTTGTTCCTCACTATTTGGTATGATTCCAAGTTTCATGCATATGGCAGTTATCAGGCACAGATTGAAAACTACCTATTATGCACTGTTATATAATATATTACCTTAAATATACAAAAACACATTCTTGTGTGTGTTTGTATGTGTCTGTGTGTGTTAGAATTTATGTGGAATTTGAAAGAAAAAAACAGAGAACTGATTGTTAGCTGGAAAATTTTAAAAAGCCCTATAACAACCGCAACAATATTTGCAACCTCTGCCAACAGGAAAAATTAGCAATTATGACATTTCCGGATCCAAAGAACCTTCCGAACCAGAAATCCAAAGGAGTCCTTGCTTACATATTAGAAAGTTCCTCTTAAGCACATATAAGGTTGGGTAAAAAATGTGCCACAATTTAAATACAAAAAATAATGACTACTGCATCTGATTTATGGCAATGACGGGACTTGTATATGAGTTTCAGTTATCTGGAAGGCTAATGTTTACTCAGATACCATATATTAACAGTACTTGTACCATCCAACTCCTTAATGCTGCAAACATTATTTGGTGAGGGGGTTATACTGTTGTTTTCTTACATGATGTATAATAAATTCTATTTTAGCTGTTAGCATACTAGCTAAGAAAATTATCATTCAATTTTGGGTTAAATAATGAAATAAACTTTCATTATTTTAATTTAATATTTCTATAATAGTTCAGCAAAAAATATAGCGAGACTATCAAGAAAAAGAGATTACGTAATTGATATTTGAGCACTTCAATTGATACAAATAAATAAAGCATACCGTAAAAAGCATATTTTTATCATATATATATATATATATATATATATATATATATATATATATATATATATATTATAATTATGTTTTAAAAATATGATTTCCATATTTTTTAAAAATAATTATAATTTAAAAAAATAATCATAATTTAAGCTCTACTTCTATATGGAGCACTGTTTTTTAAAAAATAAAAACAAAAATACTAAAAAACTCTGGATTATTTACCTAACGTGTTCTTTCCTATTTTCTACATAAATATATATATATATATATATATTCATGAATTATTCACTCAAAAACAAATGCAAAGGTTAATGATTTAATTTAATAAGAACTAATGCAGCAGAAATTTATAGAAACAAGGATCTTTTCATTCATAACAGGTTCGGTGGTTTTTGTATATTATTTTTAATTGTTTGCGACTATGGATATCTCGCCAATTAAATCATTAACCTTTGCATTTGTTTTTGAGTGAATAATTCATGAATTTGTAAATTGATTGCACGTTTATCGAAATATATATATATATATATATATATATATATATATCATTAAATATACAAAAACGCGGTCTTTAAAGGATCCTTTTTTAACCAACACTTTTTCAGAAGAATACATTGGTACCTTCTTAGTTAAACAAAATGAAACAAATTTGCACATCAAAACCCAAATATATACAGGAGGGTTAAATGATGGACTGCAAATAAAATTGAAATTTATTACTAAAATGAAGAAGCCTTGTGAGTGAGATTGGTTAGATGCAACTGCCCATGATAGTCTGAAGTCACAAGTCATCATGACCAATGGTATATACTGGCTGTACTGAAAAGATTGATCATGCCAGATTATGCACCATGTCTCAGGTAGGCTCTGTGGGTCAAGCAGGTTTCTGTAATAGGAATTGGTGGCTAGCCATCCTGGCAGATGTGTTGGGTTTGCTTAGAAACAAGTTGTAGCTTGCCATTGCACATATATATGCACGTATATATAAATCAGGAAAAAGATATATTATTCAAAAATTATAACATAAACATAAATAAACAAAAATATCCATCACTTGAGAAGACACCAGATGTGTTGAAACAAAATGGTTATTTTTGTAGTGATTTCATAACATGTTTGTTATGATTTTTGAATAAATAATATTTGTTCTAATCTGTGTTGAGCATTCTTTTAAGAATAGTGTTTTTGGTTATTGGAATTTTATTACATCCACACCAATCCTATACTTGTGTGTGTGTATATATATATATATATATATATATAAAGCAAGAGAAAGAGACATTTTTTTTTATTTATGTATGTATGTAAAGTTAAGAGAAACCCAGGTTCTAATCTTACAAGGTAACTTCCTAATGTTATCTGTCTGGCAGAGGCGATCCCAATGTGTGGCACCTTTGGAAAGTGCCTGTAATTTATACCACAGGTTGACCCAAGCCTTGTAAGTGAAATTGGGTAGACAGAACCCTTGATGGTCATCAATGGTTGTTCTAGCACAGAGTCACAAGTCATCATGAATGAGAGTTTGAGTGTGCTGGCCTTGTCCAGACTGTTGATCACGCTAGATAATGCCTTGTCTTCTAGAAACTCTAACACACACGCACACACACACACATATATATATATGTACCCACACACAGATCGATAGACATAATTATATATGTGTTGCCTGTTTTTTTATCATCTCATTATTTTAAATGTGTTTTGTCTACTTATCCCCATGAGCACACACACACACACACACACACATATATATATATATACACACACACACACACACACACACACAGACTCATATCGATGCATTTATGATGTATATATCTATATTCATGTATAAATATTAAGTTGAAGAGATTTTTTACAAATTCAATTATACTTTTTCTTTCATATATATATATATATATATATATATATATATATATATATATACACACACACACACACTCGCACACATTATATATATATATATATATATATATACGAGAGAGAATGTTTTTACCATCTCATTTGGCTGATATGACTTTCTTTTGAATGTGTGAGCATTTAAAATTAGAAACATGATTACCAGCCATACAGCAGGGTTGTTCCTTTTGTTTAGCCTCATTAACTTGCCATGCTCCCTGGCTGCCTGCACCCTTGGCAAATTCATGCAGACAGCGAGACGACAGGGCAAGAAAAAAAAAAAATCTGAGATGGAGATGTGGATTACTGCTGAGTGTGACAAAGACTGCAAATTCCTTTGACAGACTGACACAGAAACCTGACATATGCGTTAAAATAAATCCTATTGCTCTATATCTTCCTGCGTCTCACCTGTACACATTTTGTTTCAACTGATATTTCACAGATGCAGCAACCTCTTTAATAGAGATGATCCATATGTCAAAGAGGCACTCACCAAAGTTAGCGTCTGGATTTTAGAAGCATGCAGCAGGAATTTTTACCAACAGTTCAAAGATCACTTACTTTTTTTTCATGAGTGGTTCCTACCATGTTTCGACCTTTCCATTATTTAGTTCTCTTCAGCCATACTGTCAGTATTGAAAGTGTGTTTTTCCTTTTTTTGGTAATGCATAGCAGAAAATGGTAGCAAATAGAAGATTGAAAATTTTCGCAAGGAACACTAGGTATTTTAAATTATTTTACTTCTAGAAATGTATACAACAGTGTTTACTTTATAGCTTATATCAGACGTATAAACCTTTTTCAAGCAGTGGTCCATATAATCTACAGCTGATAACAAGGCAGGCTGTACTACTAAAAATATTCAAGGAAATTTTTCAT